CCTCCCGCTTGTTCTGCAGCCCAGACTCACCTGGGGGGGACATTTGGGGTCGGGGGGGGCCCCAAAACCCTTTGGGATCCCCCAAAACCCCCCAAAGCCCCCCCGGACCTCTCAACCCCCCCCGAACTCACCGATGAGTTTCAGCTCCTGGTCGAGCCGGGACTTCTCGAAGGGTCTCCGGGGGGTCACGTAAGTTTTCCTGCACACCCAGCTCCGGGCGACCGGCATGGTGGGGGCTTGGGGGAGGGATATGGGGGGTCAGACCCCTCCCCAAAATACATCCACAGCCCCAGGAACCACGAACCCCCCCCCCACCACGTGCTCCTCCCCGCTCTCTGCGCATGCGCACACCCCGCACAGGCCGCGAGCGCTCCCCCGGCACCGCCCTCGCCCGTCCCGGGGGGCTCGGGGGAGCCAAAGGGGGCTCAGGGGCGCACGAGAATCCCCAGGAGGACCCCACAGACCGCCGGCCCCGGCACGGCCCCGGCGCGGCCCCGCCCGCCCGCACCTCAGCTCCGCGGCGGCCGCGGCGACGGAAAGAGAATCGCGGTTCGTGGGGCTGGTTTATATACCCCGGTGGGGAAGGACCCGCCCACTGATGCTGAGCAGCCAATGGAAAGTCGCGCTGAGGGCGGCACCGGCCAATGGGAGCGCGTGGTGAGGAGCATAGAGAGCGGGAGCGGCTCCTCTAGGGGCTGCCATGTTTCCCTGAGGGCGGGGGGAGTGCGGAGGTCCTCCAAGGGAGTGCGGGTGACACGAGGGGGGCACAGAAGGACAGTGGGGGACATTGGAGGGCACAGGGGTACAAGAGGGACGTGGGGGGACATTGAGCAAGTGGGGGAACACAGGGGGACGTGGGATGACATTGGAAGATCACCAGGGACCTTGGAGGGGACGCCAGAGATCCATGACACCTCGTTAATATTAACAGCTTTGTTAATATTCATGAGCTCTTCCCAAAGCGCTGGGGAACAAGGACGACCCTGCAGCCCATTCCGGTCTTCTATTGGCTGTTTGAGCTGTCAGTCAGACCTCACAAACTTTGTCCCGCCCTCCTGGAGGCGTTGCCATGGCGACGGCGCCCCCATTCGGCGACAGGGCCTGCGCCCCCAGCGCGCCCTCAACAAAGATGGCGCGGCCGCGCCCTCACCACCCACGGCCCGCAAGGACGGCACCGCCCTCGACAGACATGGCGGCGGCGCGGGGGGCGGAGCGAGAGTTCTCATTGGCTGCGCGCGCGAGCTCCGCGCCGCGCCATTGGCTGGGTGGGCGGGGCGGGAGCAGCGCTTCCGGGTCGGAGGTCACGGCGGCCGGAGGGGCGACGGCGGAGCCGGTGAGGACCCGGGGGGGGGA